CGAAAGTTTCTCCAAATTTGTTCAGGTTGAGGTTTGGTAGCAATCAGCTGAGTGGAAACATTCCTTCAGATGCTTTTGTATAATTTCATAATTTGACATACTTGGAGCTTGATTACAATATTTTGATGGGATCGATACCAGCTGAATTGAGTTCTTGCAAGAGTTTGACATTGTTGAATTTAGCTCAGAATCGGTTGAGTGGTGTATTCCCACAACAGCTTGGTAATCTTACCAATCTCCGTGTCTTGAAGCTCCAATTGAACAATCTTAGTGGTGCAATCCCAACTCAAATTGGCCAACTTAATAAGTTGTTAACCCTGAATTTGAGCCGGAATTCTCTGAGTGGACCAATTCCACCTGATATTGCAAATTTAAGCAGTCTTAATTTCCTGTATTTGTACGGCAACAATCTTAATGGTTCCATACCGACATCCATTGGCATGTTGGATGATCTTTTAGAACTCCAACTTGGGGAAAACCACCTGAGAGGTGTGATTCCAAGCATGCCATTGAGTCTGCAGGTTACATTGAATCTTAGTAGCAACTACTTTAGTGGTTCTATTCCTACCAGTTTTGGTAGTTTAAGAAGCCTAGAAATCTTGGATCTCTCAAATAACGCCTTTTCTGGTGGAATTCCTGATTATCTTACTGGCATGCTGGCTTTGACACGGTTGATACTTTCTAACAATCCTCTGTCTGGAGCAATCCCAAACTTTAGTCACCATATCGATATTGAATTTTCTGGAACTAATCTAAAAAATTATACTGCACAGAAGAACGAAACTGCCAACACAGGGCCCAGAGGGGCAAAGAATGGAATAGGCGTTGGAGTGGCCATTCTCATTGCAATTGTAGCAGCTATTTTTCTTGTTGGCTTTGTCACTCTGTTGGTTTTGTCAGTGTCACGCCACTATTACAGGGTTAATGATGAGCATTCACAGTCAACAGAAGTTCGTCAGCATCCTCAGGTCATGCAAAGTAATCTGTTAACTCCTAATGGAATACATAGATCAAACATTGACTTCTCCAAAGCCATGGAAGCTGTTGCCGAAACATCAAATGTTACTCTTAAAACAAGGTTTTCAACTTATTATAAAGCTGTTATGCCGTCTGGTTCAATCTATTATGTCAAGAAACTGAACTGGTTTGACAAGGTATTCCAAGTGGGAAGTCATGATAAATTTGTTAAAGAGCTAGAAGTATTGGCCAAATTGAACAATTCGAATGTCATGACTCCTTTGGCCTATGTTCTGTCCACTGACACTGCTTATATACTATACGAGTTTATCTCAAATGGCTCCCTCTTTGATGTTCTTCATGGAAGCATGGATTTGACATTAGATTGGGCTAGCAGATACAGTATAGCTGTTGGAGTGGCTCAAGGACTTTCCTTTCTTCATGGATTCGCCTCTAGTCCAATACTACTCCTTGACCTGTCAAGTAAAAGTATTATGCTGAAGTCCCTCAAGGAGCCTCTAGTTGGGGATATTGAACACTACAAAGTGATTGATCCCTCAAAAAGTACAGGGAACTTTTCTGCAGTTGCTGGTTCAGTTGGTTATATTCCTCCAGGTATATCTCTCTTCAACTTTTATTCTCCTATATCCTTTTCATCGTTCACAGATTAACTTCATAAACCACCACTAAACAGTGTGCGTGTGAGTGTGTGATATATATTGTAGGTGTAATATGGATCAAAATTGCACTTGGTGAAAAAAATCTTCTATAAATATTTTAAGCAAAGTTGTCTCTATTTCATTTATGCAGTACAGTCCTGTGCAATTACTTAATCACTCTTTCAGTTGAGTTTTAGCGCTAAGTAATAAAGAAAAACCTGACTAAATTCATGAACACTTGAGCATATAACCTGAAAATTGTATTTAAACATTTTTCCTACAAGCATACACTCCTAGTGATTCAGATATCAATTGAGATTGCCAAGCTATTATAGTGTGCACGGTTTCATGTTGAAAAACAACATCAGAATTCAGTTTTATCTTCAGTCAAATGTGATTTTAGTAAAGATACGTATGTTTTGTTATTGTTAGGTAAAGTTAATTTTGCCTCCAAACCTAAGTTTGACAATAACTGATACAATGTTCCTTCTGCATTGCGTTGAAAAATTGTCATTAAGCTTTACATCAAACTTTCTTTCAGCATCAGAACATCTAAACATAAACCAATTTACTTTAAAATCAATTTCGCAGCTCTTAACTTTGTTTATTGGTTGGCAGAGTATGCATACACAATGACAGTAACAATGGCTGGGAATGTCTACAGCTTTGGTGTGATTCTGCTTGAACTGCTGACAGGAAAGCCTGCAGTGACTGAGGGAACGGAATTGGTGAAGTGGGTTTTGCGTAACTCCACAAACCAAGATTACATTCTTGACTTTAATATCAGTAGAACATCACAAGCAGTCAGAAACCAGATGCTTGCAATTCTTGAGATTGCTCGTGTTTGTGTTGGTACATCCCCAGAGTCAAGACCAAAGATGAAGAGTGTGCTAAGGATGCTCTTAAATGCTAGATGAAGTCAGATTCTTCAGGGTTGGAATGAATATGTGAGGTATATTTCTTTTGTGATGATGCTTTTAAGTCTAGAAAATATGAAAGGTAGAATATATGATTGGACATGATTTTCTTAATACTTCTATGGTGTGTGAACAGTGTACAGTTAATCTGTAGAAACATAGTTTATACAACAATAATGGATGTCTTATTGTTTGGTTCTTCGAATGGACATAGCAGAGAAGTGTTGGTATCTAACCTGAGAGATGTTCATCCAATAAGTCTCGATTCATGAACCAATCAATAATCACTTATTCAAGTATATTTTGAAGACTCGGCAAAGGACAAATTAAAAAAATCAATAATGAAAGTTATGTTTAAGTTTAAAAATTAGAAAATTCAAATCCTTTGACTCCAAAATTATGTTCATGAATAATTTCTATCTTTTTTCCATTTTTTATTCATCAACTCCTATATGTTTAATCACTTTTAGGACATATTTTAATTTCGTGTCTGATTAAGTCAAACGTGCATTTAATTTGTTATCATTTCATTGTTTCTAATAAATTTTAAATGACAACAAATTTTAAAATTTTCATAACTCTACACCCATGTCTTTTAAGTACTAATATTTTTAAAGTAAAATTTGTTGTAGGTCTCCATTTTTAATAAATGATGGTTTTAGACTTTTTACATTTTAAAAAAAAAAATATTTTTTTGAGTTCAAGGTATTCCAATCTAATTCTTCCAGATATTGAAATCTATTTAAGGAATTCACCATTTTTTAGAAAAATAAAATCACATAATAGTATGATAATCTCTGATAAAATATTTTAAATAATGCTTACTTATCAATTATGTCACCATATTATAAAAAAAATATGATTTTGATTTCTCAAATTTTGCTCAAATTTTGTCTTTATCGCTATAATTTTAAAATGATTATTTTTTCTTTTTTCTTTTATTTGTAGATAGATTCTTAATATTTTGATTGACTAATTATATAGGACTTTACGTTTGACTTTCAATAACTCTTTTATAAGGAGTTTTGGGAGAGAAAAATGAGCATTGAAAGAAGTGTTTTTTAACAAATAAAATCAATTTTTGCATAAACTAATTCATTTAATTTTTTTATATGATCTTTATAATTTTTTAAGTTTTAATTTATTCATAAACTAATTTTAACTTATGCAACAGCTCATTTCATTCTGTGTTTTTATATTTTTTTCTCTTAGAAATTTTCATGAAGAAATTTATTGAAACATATCAACGACTCGTGAATAAGCATAATAAAATAGTGACAAATTATTAAACATAAATGATATATTTGACTAAGAAACTATAATCTTATTTGTCTAATCATGACAATCTAACATAGTTTTAATAAGACGATATGTTATCATAAATAATCTAGGTTTTTTATATAAATATGAAAATCATATCTTTTGGAAAATATGTACTCATTATACCATCAAACCACAAAATGCTTAATCTTTATGTAATTATCACCATCAAACTTTAGAACGTATAATCCTCATATAAAGGCACAATGCTCAAGATGAAAATTCAATTTTTATAATAATCTAAAGAGCATTAAACATTTGACTCATGAATTCGTATGTAGATTTTGATGTATCAAATAAAACCATTATGAGATTGTATGTTAAATTAGTCTTTTAAGTTCAAGAAGAGGAAATTTAGCACAAAAAGTACTTTATACATAGCAATCTCGGTATTACAATAATAATGTTAACTAAAATATTATCAACCTATGTTAAAACGCTAACAAATAAACAAAAAATTTGTGAGTTATTTTCAATAATATTCTTGAATATGCTTATAGATATTAGTTCTTGTAAAATTATTGCATTTTACTTTTTGTTTTTGTTTTTAATCCTCCTTATATTAAAAACCTGTACGTGTAATTTTTTTTATATGTTGAACAAAACTTCAAATGTTATTTGTCTATCTTAAAATAATATCGGAGACTAAAAATAATAATTTGAAAATTTTAAGAAATAGAAAAAAGAAAATCAAAGAAACCCATTTTAATTAAGCAAAATAAAAATTCAAATATTTTATAAAACCTAAAAATAATTGTTTCAAATTTTGTAAATCAAAATCCGCTAGTTTCACAATGATTAAAACATATAAAGTTCTATATAAGATTTTAAGCAAAATTTCACTCATAACAAAAATATATCTTCAATTAACTTTTGAACATAAAAATAAAATTTGAAGTTATTTAAACATTTTTATTATTGATTTTTAAATAAATAGTTGATTTATTAAAATAAATAAATAATTTACTATTTTAATTTCATTAATTTTATTTAAATTGAATTAATAATTAAAATTATTATATACATATTTAAATTTTAATAACTATTATGTGTGTTTACTAAACAAATTAACGTTAATTTAGTATTTTCTTTACTGACTTGTTTAATTTTGCACATCAGAAATGTAGGTATCGTATTCTAGATAATAAAACATAATCCATTTTCCTAACTTCTCAATTGCACCATTGCACGAAGCGAGTGTAGAGACGTTAGCCACGATGTTCCTACCATAAGAGAGAAAGATGCAAACGTTACAAATGAGTCTGTTGACACAACCTTACGTTCAGCCTCGTTTCCCTTGCAAGCGCTACCCGACCTTCTCCGCATCCTGCAGAACTCAAAAGACAGCGACCGCGAAAACAGAGAAGGTGCTTTTCAGTGAGTCATTTGATCAAACACGTTGCGCGCAGCCTCTCTCTGAAAAGAAGAAGAGGGTGTTCTTTTTGGACGTTAACCCGCTCTGTTACGAAGGAAGCAAGCCCAGCTTGCACTCCTTCGGGCGGTGGCTCTCTCTGTTTCTCTATCAAGTCAGCCTCACTGACCCCGTCATTGCTGTAATCTCTCTAACTCTATTTGTTTGTGAACGAATGAATTTAGAGGCAAGGGCTTACTTACCTTTTGGTAGTGGGTTCTCTTATTGGAATTTCAAACTAACCTTACTACACCCGTCCTTATTAAGGTCAAATGGGTTGAATTTCCCTATGAACATTTGAAAGAAGAAAAGAATAAAGTAAAACACCCTTCTTAGTTAAAGTGTTAAAAACAATCTTTTTAGAGAATATTGGAGATGCTGATACAAGCTAGTAGTAGTTAGATAGTTAGTTGCTGTTACTGAGCTTTCTTTTACCGTGGTTTAGCTTTCTGTAATTACTGTCTTTTATTAGTTTTCTGTTATAATTGTGAGTAATTAATTTTCGTTTATGCATAACTTAATTTTAATTTACGAATAAAGGTAAAATTCAAATTGCAGTTTTTTGTAGAGGGCTTCGGTTTTTTCTGCAGTAAATCCTCTTTGAGCTGGGTAAGGCTACGGCTAGCAGCAAAACTTTCACATTCCAATTCTAATAACTTATATTAGTTCTTGAAGTCATATTAGTTCTCTGTTAATTACGCATGAAGTTCGTGGACTTCAAGGACTAATTTATGGAAATCTCACTTAAGCCTGATGCAGTTTCTTCCAATATGCATTTTTTGATAAAATTTTCGTGTGTTACGACAAATGTGATGGTGGAGTGAATACTTATAGTGCCTGTATGTAATTTCAATCATTTAATTTGTTGATGGAATGAATACTTACGATGCATACATATAATTTCCATAGTTTGGTGACTCTGAACCATTTACTGCTGCATAGGCATTTCTTTTGAATTCTCATTCAGAATATTTTTATGCTATGAAAATAAAAATTTCATTCGGTATTGTATTTCATTTGCTGTGACTTCTTTTATGTTCTTTTCCTCTTTTCTTTTCTCTCTTAAAGTATTGAAATGATTGAGCAGGTTATTGATGGAGAAGGAGGCAGCGAGCATCGCAGAAAGTTGCTACCTTCATATAAAGCACATAGGAAAAAGTTCATGAGACACATGTCAAGTGGCCATGTTGGGAGGTCTCATCAAGTTATAAATGATGTTCTTGGAAAATGCAACGTGCCAGTGAGTTGCTGTGTCATTGCTATTATAAAATGATGTACTTGTCTATAATTTTATTTTTTGACGAGTAATGTGCTTCATTTTTATGATATATGATTAATGCTGCTAAAACTTACATTGAAAGTGATGCATGCTTGACTTCCTACTAGTTCAAAATTAGTTATTCTCCCAATCCACAAATCTAATTCGGAACCCCAAGTTTAACAGAAAAGTTATGTTTAATTCTTCGATGTATTCCATTTGGGAGGGTTTTCAAGTAAACAACTGTATCTTTACCAAATTTCTATACTATTTTAACATAAAAAAGAGTTTTTTTAAATCTTAAACGTATCACTAGTTTCTGGGTATGTAGATGAGTTTGCAGAACAGAAATCTGTTGTAAGGCCATTAGAAACATAAACATACACAGGCTACAAATTTGGATGTGCTTGGCAGGGAAATTGTTGAATGATGCTATTTTTGTTATTCAAATATAATCTGGAACGCTAGATCAATTTACTGTCTACATTTGCAATTATAAGTTATTAGGATCTTATCAATTTACTGTCTACATTTGCAATTATAAGTTATTAGGATCTTATATAGAATATCTTTATGTTTTGCGCATTTCTGATTATTGTCCTTAATCTTTTAATGTATTTTTAACTTTTTCTATTAGGATATTCAAGACTATCTTTTGGTTGAATATAAATCCCAAAATTAACTACAAGAAACCCTGATACATTGAACCATCATACACTTAAATTACTACATGGAATCATTAGTTGACATGAAGGTAGTAAGTGTGTGACTTAATATGTGAAATGACCATAGTCCGAATAGATAGTAGTGAATGACAATATGTTTACTGACTTTTTGGAGATTAATTGGATCCCGAATGTTCTGTGATACTTGCACTACTACTTAATTTTTTTTGGCTTAATACCCTATTTTGTCCCTAGTTTCGCTCGAAAATGTCAAATTAGTCAATCCTTTAAAAAATGCGTCAATTACGTCCTCACTTAATAAAATTTGTATCAATGAAATCCCTTCTGTTAAATCCGTACAAACGGCGTTAATTATTTTTCTTTTTCTTTAATTAACGCTGTTTGTACGAATTTAACGGAAGGGATTTCATTGATGCAAATTTTATTAAGTGAGGACGTAATTGACGCATTTTTTAAAGAATGGACTAATTTGACATTTTCGAGCGNAGCTTTCTAAATTAGAAACTTTGATCCTTTCCACTAATGCCCTCACTGGTGAAATTCCAACTTCACTGGCGAACATCACCAAACTTTCAAGATTTGCAGCAAATCAGAACAACTTCACAGGTTCTATACCTTCTGGGATTACAAAATATCTCACGAGTTTGGATCTCAGTTATAATGGTCTGTCTGGCGCCATTCCAGAAGACTTTTTATCTCCACAACAGTTGCAGGTTGTAGATTTGACCAATAATATGTTAAATGGGTCTTTACCTACGAAAGTTTCTCCAAATTTGTTCAGGTTGAGGTTTGGGAGCAATCAGCTGAGTGGAAACATTCCTCCAGATGCTTTTGTACAAGTTCAGAATTTGACATACTTGGAGCTGGATGACAATATGTTGATGGGATCGATACCAGCTGAATTGAGTTCTTGCAAGAGTTTGACATTGTTGAATTTAGCTCAGAATCGGTTGAGTGGTGTATTCCCACAACAGCTTGGTAATCTTACCAATCTCCGTGTCTTGAAGCTCCAATTGAACAATCTTAGTGGTGCAATCCCAACTCAAATTGGCCAACTTAATAAGTTGTTAACCCTGAATTTGAGCCGGAATTCTCTGAGTGGACCAATTCCACCTGATATTGCAAATTTAAGCAGTCTTAATTTCCTGTATTTGTACGGCAACAATCTTAATGGTTCCATACCGACATCCATTGGCATGTTGGATGATCTTTTAGAACTCCAACTTGGGGAAAACCACCTGAGAGGTGTGATTCCAAGCATGCCATTGAGTCTGCAGGTTACATTGAATCTTAGTAGCAACTACTTTAGTGGTTCTATTCCTACCAGTTTTGGTAGTTTAAGAAGCCTAGAAATCTTGGATCTCTCAAATAACGCCTTTTCTGGTGGAATTCCTGATTATCTTACTGGCATGCTGGCTTTGACACGGTTGATACTTTCTAACAATCCTCTGTCTGGAGCAATCCCAAACTTTAGTCACCATATCGATATTGAATTTTCTGGAACTAATCTAAAAAATTATACTGCACAGAAGAACGAAACTGCCAACACAGGGCCCAGAGGGGCAAAGAATGGAATAGGCGTTGGAGTGGCCATTCTCATTGCAATTGTAGCAGCTATTTTTCTTGTTGGCTTTGTCACTCTGTTGGTTTTGTCAGTGTCACGCCACTATTACAGGGTTAATGATGAGCATTCACAGTCAACAGAAGTTCGTCAGCATCCTCAGGTCATGCAAAGTAATCTGTTAACTCCTAATGGAATACATAGATCAAACATTGACTTCTCCAAAGCCATGGAAGCTGTTGCCGAAACATCAAATGTTACTCTTAAAACAAGGTTTTCAACTTATTATAAAGCTGTTATGCCGTCTGGTTCAATCTATTATGTCAAGAAACTGAACTGGTTTGACAAGGTATTCCAAGTGGGAAGTCATGATAAATTTGTTAAAGAGCTAGAAGTATTGGCCAAATTGAACAATTCGAATGTCATGACTCCTTTGGCCTATGTTCTGTCCACTGACACTGCTTATATACTATACGAGTTTATCTCAAATGGCTCCCTCTTTGATGTTCTTCATGGAAGCATGGATTTGACATTAGATTGGGCTAGCAGATACAGTATAGCTGTTGGAGTGGCTCAAGGACTTTCCTTTCTTCATGGATTCGCCTCTAGTCCAATACTACTCCTTGACCTGTCAAGTAAAAGTATTATGCTGAAGTCCCTCAAGGAGCCTCTAGTTGGGGATATTGAACACTACAAAGTGATTGATCCCTCAAAAAGTACAGGGAACTTTTCTGCAGTTGCTGGTTCAGTTGGTTATATTCCTCCAGGTATATCTCTCTTCAACTTTTATTCTCCTATATCCTTTTCATCGTTCACAGATTAACTTCATAAACCACCACTAAACAGTGTGCGTGTGAGTGTGTGATATATATTGTAGGTGTAATATGGATCAAAATTGCACTTGGTGAAAAAAATCTTCTATAAATATTTTAAGCAAAGTTGTCTCTATTTCATTTATGCAGTACAGTCCTGTGCAATTACTTAATCACTCTTTCAGTTGAGTTTTAGCGCTAAGTAATAAAGAAAAACCTGACTAAATTCATGAACACTTGAGCATATAACCTGAAAATTGTATTTAAACATTTTTCCTACAAGCATACACTCCTAGTGATTCAGATATCAATTGAGATTGCCAAGCTATTATAGTGTGCACGGTTTCATGTTGAAAAACAACATCAGAATTCAGTTTTATCTTCAGTCAAATGTGATTTTAGTAAAGATACGTATGTTTTGTTATTGTTAGGTAAAGTTAATTTTGCCTCCAAACCTAAGTTTGACAATAACTGATACAATGTTCCTTCTGCATTGCGTTGAAAAATTGTCATTAAGCTTTACATCAAACTTTCTTTCAGCATCAGAACATCTAAACATAAACCAATTTACTTTAAAATCAATTTCGCAGCTCTTAACTTTGTTTATTGGTTGGCAGAGTATGCATACACAATGACAGTAACAATGGCTGGGAATGTCTACAGCTTTGGTGTGATTCTGCTTGAACTGCTGACAGGAAAGCCTGCAGTGACTGAGGGAACGGAATTGGTGAAGTGGGTTTTGCGTAACTCCACAAACCAAGATTACATTCTTGACTTTAATATCAGTAGAACATCACAAGCAGTCAGAAACCAGATGCTTGCAATTCTTGAGATTGCTCGTGTTTGTGTTGGTACATCCCCAGAGTCAAGACCAAAGATGAAGAGTGTGCTAAGGATGCTCTTAAATGCTAGATGAAGTCAGATTCTTCAGGGTTGGAATGAATATGTGAGGTATATTTCTTTTGTGATGATGCTTTTAAGTCTAGAAAATATGAAAGGTAGAATATATGATTGGACATGATTTTCTTAATACTTCTATGGTGTGTGAACAGTGTACAGTTAATCTGTAGAAACATAGTTTATACAACAATAATGGATGTCTTATTGTTTGGTTCTTCGAATGGACATAGCAGAGAAGTGTTGGTATCTAACCTGAGAGATGTTCATCCAATAAGTCTCGATTCATGAACCAATCAATAATCACTTATTCAAGTATATTTTGAAGACTCGGCAAAGGACAAATTAAAAAAATCAATAATGAAAGTTATGTTTAAGTTTAAAAATTAGAAAATTCAAATCCTTTGACTCCAAAATTATGTTCATGAATAATTTCTATCTTTTTTCCATTTTTTATTCATCAACTCCTATATGTTTAATCACTTTTAGGACATATTTTAATTTCGTGTCTGATTAAGTCAAACGTGCATTTAATTTGTTATCATTTCATTGTTTCTAATAAATTTTAAATGACAACAAATTTTAAAATTTTCATAACTCTACACCCATGTCTTTTAAGTACTAATATTTTTAAAGTAAAATTTGTTGTAGGTCTCCATTTTTAATAAATGATGGTTTTAGACTTTTTACATTTTAAAAAAAAAAATATTTTTTTGAGTTCAAGGTATTCCAATCTAATTCTTCCAGATATTGAAATCTATTTAAGGAATTCACCATTTTTTAGAAAAATAAAATCACATAATAGTATGATAATCTCTGATAAAATATTTTAAATAATGCTTACTTATCAATTATGTCACCATATTATAAAAAAAATATGATTTTGATTTCTCAAATTTTGCTCAAATTTTGTCTTTATCGCTATAATTTTAAAATGATTATTTTTTCTTTTTTCTTTTATTTGTAGATAGATTCTTAATATTTTGATTGACTAATTATATAGGACTTTACGTTTGACTTTCAATAACTCTTTTATAAGGAGTTTTGGGAGAGAAAAATGAGCATTGAAAGAAGTGTTTTTTAACAAATAAAATCAATTTTTGCATAAACTAATTCATTTAATTTTTTTATATGATCTTTATAATTTTTTAAGTTTTAATTTATTCATAAACTAATTTTAACTTATGCAACAGCTCATTTCATTCTGTGTTTTTATATTTTTTTCTCTTAGAAATTTTCATGAAGAAATTTATTGAAACATATCAACGACTCGTGAATAAGCATAATAAAATAGTGACAAATTATTAAACATAAATGATATATTTGACTAAGAAACTATAATCTTATTTGTCTAATCATGACAATCTAACATAGTTTTAATAAGACGATATGTTATCATAAATAATCTAGGTTTTTTATATAAATATGAAAATCATATCTTTTGGAAAATATGTACTCATTATACCATCAAACCACAAAATGCTTAATCTTTATGTAATTATCACCATCAAACTTTAGAACGTATAATCCTCATATAAAGGCACAATGCTCAAGATGAAAATTCAATTTTTATAATAATCTAAAGAGCATTAAACATTTGACTCATGAATTCGTATGTAGATTTTGATGTATCAAATAAAACCATTATGAGATTGTATGTTAAATTAGTCTTTTAAGTTCAAGAAGAGGAAATTTAGCACAAAAAGTACTTTATACATAGCAATCTCGGTATTACAATAATAATGTTAACTAAAATATTATCAACCTATGTTAAAACGCTAACAAATAAACAAAAAATTTGTGAGTTATTTTCAATAATATTCTTGAATATGCTTATAGATATTAGTTCTTGTAAAATTATTGCATTTTACTTTTTGTTTTTGTTTTTAATCCTCCTTATATTAAAAACCTGTACGTGTAATTTTTTTTATATGTTGAACAAAACTTCAAATGTTATTTGTCTATCTTAAAATAATATCGGAGACTAAAAATAATAATTTGAAAATTTTAAGAAATAGAAAAAAGAAAATCAAAGAAACCCATTTTAATTAAGCAAAATAAAAATTCAAATATTTTATAAAACCTAAAAATAATTGTTTCAAATTTTGTAAATCAAAATCCGCTAGTTTCACAATGATTAAAACATATAAAGTTCTATATAAGATTTTAAGCAAAATTTCACTCATAACAAAAATATATCTTCAATTAACTTTTGAACATAAAAATAAAATTTGAAGTTATTTAAACATTTTTATTATTGATTTTTAAATAAATAGTTGATTTATTAAAATAAATAAATAATTTACTATTTTAATTTCATTAATTTTATTTAAATTGAATTAATAATTAAAATTATTATATACATATTTAAATTTTAATAACTATTATGTGTGTTTACTAAACAAATTAACGTTAATTTAGTATTTTCTTTACTGACTTGTTTAATTTTGCACATCAGAAATGTAGGTATCGTATTCTAGATAATAAAACATAATCCATTTTCCTAACTTCTCAATTGCACCATTGCACGAAGCGAGTGTAGAGACGTTAGCCACGATGTTCCTACCATAAGAGAGAAAGATGCAAACGTTACAAATGAGTCTGTTGACACAACCTTACGTTCAGCCTCGTTTCCCTTGCAAGCGCTACCCGACCTTCTCCGCATCCTGCAGAACTCAAAAGACAGCGACCGCGAAAACAGAGAAGGTGCTTTTCAGTGAGTCATTTGATCAAACACGTTGCGCGCAGCCTCTCTCTGAAAAGAAGAAGAGGGTGTTCTTTTTGGACGTTAACCCGCTCTGTTACGAAGGAAGCAAGCCCAGCTTGCACTCCTTCGGGCGGTGGCTCTCTCTGTTTCTCTATCAAGTCAGCCTCACTGACCCCGTCATTGCTGTAATCTCTCTAACTCTATTTGTTTGTGAACGAATGAATTTAGAGGCAAGGGCTTACTTACCTTTTGGTAGTGGGTTCTCTTATTGGAATTTCAAACTAACCTTACTACACCCGTCCTTATTAAGGTCAAATGGGTTGAATTTCCCTATGAACATTTGAAAGAAGAAAAGAATAAAGTAAAACACCCTTCTTAGTTAAAGTGTTAAAAACAATCTTTTTAGAGAATATTGGAGATGCTGATACAAGCTAGTAGTAGTTAGATAGTTAGTTGCTGTTACTGAGCTTTCTTTTACCGTGGTTTAGCTTTCTGTAATTACTGTCTTTTATTAGTTTTCTGTTATAATTGTGAGTAATTAATTTTCGTTTATGCATAACTTAATTTTAATTTACGAATAAAGGTAAAATTCAAATTGCAGTTTTTTGTAGAGGGCTTCGGTTTTTTCTGCAGTAAATCCTCTTTGAGCTGGGTAAGGCTACGGCTAGCAGCAAAACTTTCACATTCCAATTCTAATAACTTATATTAGTTCTTGAAGTCATATTAGTTCTCTGTTAATTACGCATGAAGTTCGTGGACTTCAAGGACTAATTTATGGAAATCTCACTTAAGCCTGATGCAGTTTCTTCCAATATGCATTTTTTGATAAAATTTTCGTGTGTTACGACAAATGTGATGGTGGAGTGAATACTTATAGTGCCTGTATGTAATTTCAATCATTTAATTTGTTGATGGAATGAATACTTACGATGCATACATATAATTTCCATAGTTTGGTGACTCTGAACCATTTACTGCTGCATAGGCATTTCTTTTGAATTCTCATTCAGAATATTTTTATGCTATGAAAATAAAAATTTCATTCGGTATTGTATTTCATTTGCTGTGACTTCTTTTATGTTCTTTTCCTCTTTTCTTTTCTCTCTTAAAGTATTGAAATGATTGAGCAGGTTATTGATGGAGAAGGAGGCAGCGAGCATCGCAGAAAGTTGCTACCTTCATATAAAGCACATAGGAAAAAGTTCATGAGACACATGTCAAGTGGCCATGTTGGGAGGTCTCATCAAGTTATAAATGATGTTCTTGGAAAATGCAACGTGCCAGTGAGTTGCTGTGTCATTGCTATTATAAAATGATGTACTTGTCTATAATTTTATTTTTTGACGAGTAATGTGCTTCATTTTTATGATATATGATTAATGCTGCTAAAACTTACATTGAAAGTGATGCATGCTTGACTTCCTACTAGTTCAAAATTAGTTATTCTCCCAATCCACAAATCTAATTCGGAACCCCAAGTTTAACAGAAAAGTTATGTTTAATTCTTCGATGTATTCCATTTGGGAGGGTTTTCAAGTAAACAACTGTATCTTTACCAAATTTCTATACTATTTTAACATAAAAAAGAGTTTTTTTAAATCTTAAACGTATCACTAGTTTCTGGGTATGTAGATGAGTTTGCAGAACAGAAATCTGTTGTAAGGCCATTAGAAACATAAACATACACAGGCTACAAATTTGGATGTGCTTGGCAGGGAAATTGTTGAATGATGCTATTTTTGTTATTCAAATATAATCTGGAACGCTAGATCAATTTACTGTCTACATTTGCAATTATAAGTTATTAGGATCTTATCAATTTACTGTCTACATTTGCAATTATAAGTTATTAGGATCTTATATAGAATATCTTTATGTTTTGCGCATTTCTGATTATTGTCCTTAATCTTTTAATGTATTTTTAACTTTTTCTATTAGGATATTCAAGACTATCTTTTGGTTGAATATAAATCCCAAAATTAACTACAAGAAACCCTGATACATTGAACCATCATACACTTAAATTACTACATGGAATCATTAGTTGACATGAAGGTAGTAAGTGTGTGACTTAATATGTGAAATGACCATAGTCCGAATAGATAGTAGTGAATGACAATATGTTTACTGACTTTTTGGAGATTAATTGGATCCCGAATGTTCTGTGATACTTGCACTACTACTTAATTTTTTTTGGCTTAATACCCTATTTTGTCCCTAGTTTCGCTCGAAAATGTCAAATTAGTCAATCCTTTAAAAAATGCGTCAATTACGTCCTCACTTAATAAAATTTGTATCAATGAAATCCCTTCTGTTAAATCCGTACAAACGGCGTTAATTATTTTTCTTTTTCTTTAATTAACGCTGTTTGTACGAATTTAACGGAAGGGATTTCATTGATGCAAATTTTATTAAGTGAGGACGTAATTGACGCATTTTTTAAAGAATGGACTAATTTGACATTTTCGAGCGAAACTGGGGACAAAATAGGCTATTAAGCCATTTTTTTTTGTGGTAAACCATAAGCACTTCTTGAGGTAAACCATACAAATCGAGGTACAAAATTTCTCATACAGAAACACGTGTTTACATTTGATTGTTGATATGACTGACTCCCTAAATATGAAGTTTCATGACTGGTTTATTTATATCCAATACCCGTTCTTGCATTTAGGTTCATGATTAATTTTTTTTGCTTGGAGCTCATTAGACCAGAAACAACTAGCTGGGCACTTTTGGATTCTACGAGTCAGATTTTTAAAGATTAGTCCAAGAGAAATTATGTTTCAAAAGTCTACAATAAATGCATCCTCTGATCCCACACCTATCCCTTCAACTAATTCACAGGAATTAAAAAACTTAGTTAGCAGTTAGCGTGTTAATTTTATCAGAAATATGTATAATTTGTCAACAATTACTATTGACATTACTAGACATCCATTGTCTTAAAGTCATTCCACCTAATTAATCATTTTATCTCCTCTTAAACAATGACTTTCTGCGTTCTATGCCAATAAGTGGACTGAATGAGGGAGGTTTTGGCTAGTGATATATCCCTTTCCTCACGAGAGTCTAACAAACGAATTTACTTTTTGTTGCCCAGAACATTATTGAATAATTAAGGGCATTTTTGTAAAACAAATAATGTAATAACAATTTGGAGAGTGTCTTATAACAAGGGACGAAGTTATAGTTCTTAGAAGTTTCCTATGTATTAGAAACTAATAGTTAGAGAGATTGGAATTGTTTATCTGTTGTGAACCAAAAAATGGAGAATAAATCTGTCACCGAGGAATCTCAGAACTGCTACTCAAGAGTTGCAAAGGATTGGGGTTGGCGTGAGTTTGTGATACTCACTAATCTCTTTGAACAAGATTCAGGTTTTCTTGTCCAGGACTATATCATATTCTTGGATGAAGATTTTACTAAGCATGATTTTGAGTTGAGCAACAATGGCTCTTCTTTGGATAATTCTCGCAAAAGAAGTTCATTTACATGGAAAGTTGAGAATTTCCTCACTTTCAAGGAAATAATGAAGACACGAAAAATGTTCTGTAAATTCTTTCAAGCTGCTGGAAGGAACTTCAAATTGGTGTGTACAAGTCGTTTGACACTATATGTATTTATTTAGAGAATGACCAGGCTGTTGGCAGTGTTCCAGATAAAGATGTTTGGGTGAGATACAAGATGGTTGTGGTGAATCAAAAGGACCCAACCAAGACCGTGTGGAAAGAATTGGCTATCTGCACAAAGACGGGGAATAATTCTGTTTGGCAGTTCATGAAGGTGTCTGATACGTTAGAAATGGACACAAGATTTCTTGTATGGGAAATATTCGATTGCTCCATGGTTTGAGTATTCTGATTTAGAGGTTTTAACATTAGAGGATGGTCAAGTTGTTTTGACAATTGACCTTGAAGAGCTCGTTAACTCTAAAGACAGTGAAGGGATAAGTAGAGATGATGAAGAAGATATTTTTCAGAAATCTTCTTGGTTGGGATGGATTCCATTTAACATATAGAGATACCCTTCTCAACCACAAGTTACTTTGAGGAAGAAACTTCTGAGGGATGCTAGTGCAATTGCAGGGTTTCTTGCTAGTCTTCAGGTCTATCATTACGATCTTGCAAAAGTGAAGTGCTTGCTTCTACCTACCAAGCTATTTGGTAGATGTGATGGGAAGAAGGCCACCAAAGCTGATGAATCTTCCCCAAGTTTGATGAAACTACTAATGGGAGATCAAGTCTTGCAACAAGTGTTAATCCAAGGGCAGAAAGGAAGCCTTAAGGTAGTCACGTCCAAAAGTTGTTGCAACAATTAAGGACCAATTTCTAGACTTCAACCTTGAGGAGAAGGTTGTTTCTGCAGTGGTGCTTCATGATAGGATATGTAATGTTAGGGTATAAGGTGGGAGGTAATGATAAGGGTTGGGAGGTAATGAGAAGGAGAAGAAAGGTAGGAGGTAGAGTTGAGTTCGTTAACTCAAGCAACCAGTTGACAGACATATTCACTAAGTCCTTACGAGGACCTAGAGTTGATTATCTTTGTAACAAGCTTGGAACATATGATTTATATGCTCCAGCTTGAGGGGGAGTGTTAGATGTTAAGATGTGTGTTTCTGTTATTTGGGCTCAGCCTATTTTGTATTAAGGGCATTGGCCCATATCTTACAATATAAATAAACTACCCTATGTGTACGATAATACACAAGGGGATATTTTCTCCCAATCTTCTCTATTTCTCACACTTCTTAATAAAAGCCATGCAAGGAATAACATTTATCTTGGGTATGACCCATTCTCTTACAATATGAGCATTGAGGACGTCCACTTCGACCACCACGTCCTCCTTGATTGCTCCTACCTCCTCCTCTTCCTTGCGGTGTCACCATTGCTGATTTTTGAATAGCATCACTTAAATTCTCTTCCTTTACCAATAGGTACTCGAAGGAGTCGAGTAACTAAGCCATCCATTGACGGGATTTGATCACCAGCTAAAACTTGATCACGTACATGATTAAAATCAAAGTGTAAACTTTTCAAAATTAGGACCATGTAAAACTTGTCAAGCTTTTTGTTGAGATTTTCTAATGAATCAGCTACAAAGAAGTCCTTTTACTCTTCTACCGCAGCCCGAGCTTTTGCTACATGGGAAACCATATCATGGTTGACTTGTTTGAGAGAAGTTGCTCTTTGGGTTGCATCAAAAAGACATTGAACATCATTAGCAAAAATATCTTGGGCCCTTTTCCAAAAAGAGGAGCATGTCTTATAGGGTCTCAAGATATCTAGAACCTCTTGCTCAACTGATTGCCACAAAACAGCACATAACTGAAAGTCTAATTTCTGCCACTAAGATTGTTCTTCATCTGGGACCATAGAAATATCTTGTTCAAGGTGATTATGGTGTCCTTGACCAAGAAACCACAATTCCACAGCAGAGGACCATGATAAATAATTTTTCCAATTCAGTTTTGCAGATGTAATGATAGGGATAGTAGATAAAGAGGAATTACTTCCAGTAGAAGAAGCCATTTTAAACTTAGAGAAGAAATGGGACTTAGGGTTTCAAAAACGTGAGGAAGAAAACCCTAGGTATGAGCCCAAGCCAACGAAATGGAGAAACAGGAACCAAAACACACTCAAGAAGCCCCGACAAGACGATCTGCAGTGACGCGGTGAAACTCTGACACCGGGAAGGTGGCGCGTGCAAAACACGCGGCCGAGACTAGCCGGAAAGAAGTGACACGTGACGGCTGGTGCGGAGGCTTCGGAGGACGGGACCACTAGGGTTGGGTTGTGCTTCTCAAGGCACACCTAACCCTTGACTTCGCCGGAGAAAACAACGTTCAGCGGTGGCGGCGGACTGGCCAGAAAGAAGCAGCGCGTGGCGGCTGGTGTGGAGGCTTCAGAGAACGGGACCACCAGGGTTGGGTTGCGCTTCTCAAGGCGCACCTAACCCTTGACTTTGCCGGAGAAAGCGACGTTGGGCGGCGGACGACGACGGCGACAGCGGTGGACAGCGGAGCGAACGACAGAACTGACAGTGAGACGATGCCGCCGACGATAGACGAAGAAGACAAAGAGTTGGCTCTTGATACCAACTTGAAGTTGAGAGAAAATGAAGAGTCTTATATTTTGATTAAGGAAAACTGATACACTTTACTACTGTATTTATAGAAGACAATAGTTCTGAAAGATAAAAAGGCGGGAAGCCCCTAAAAAAACCCTAACATAAGTATTAATATTAAAATAATGACATTATACTTCAACAAAATTAATTAGTACAAATAAAGGGGAAACCTAGAGTTAAGGGTATGCTTTTGATTTGTGAGTTTTGTAAGAGAGGTTATGCTCTCAGGTAACTGACGGAGATCCTGCTCCCAATTATTGTTTACTTTTGTTATTCAGTTATTTCAATTCAATAAAAGAGGTTTATTCAGCTATTTTCCATTGTTCCTTATTTGTGAGAGTGAGGAAATATTCTAGTTACGTTCCATACTCGAATACGTAACATAGTGCATTTTAGATAGGTTTCCTATCCAGAAACCTATCAGATCCACTTTCCCATTGCTCCCATTTGATGGAAATTGGAATGTTGACTGCGTAACTAACAGGAGAAGGAGAACATTGATTTGCTTTTACTATTAACACATGATTCCTTAGTCATGTGTGAGAATCAGTTTCTCTGGTATCATATGTCTTCATTTTTATTTCATTGCAAAATTATAATTGCAGGTAAGTAACAATATGGAAACTTGTTAGGAAAATGATACCATTCCTTCTATTTCAAGCATTCTTAAAGTTATTGTTTATGTTTATCAATCACTTAAGAATAATATGCACATATCATTCTCATAAATGTATGCAAAAGTGAAAAGGTCAATATACTTTTTATTCAATCATATAATTCATTAGTGACAAGATGAAACCATGCAGGTTATAAAAGTTGATGGTCATGAGGCTGATGATGTTGTAGCTACTCTAGCTGGACAAGTTGTCAATAAAGGGTTTCGAGTGGTTATTGGCTCCCCTGATAAGGATTTCAAGCAGCTTATATCTGAAGATGTGCAAATAGTTATGCCTTTGCCAGAGTTACAAAGGTGGTCATTCTACACCCTGAGGCACTACAGGGATCAGTATAATTGCGACCCAGAATCTGATCTGAGTTTTAGTGAGTATAGCGTACATTAAACTTTATTTCTTTTTGATATGTTCATTGTCGACATTTTAGCATCAGTATCCGTTTTTAATATATAAAATAAGGCGAGGCTGAGCCAACTTACAAATTTATCATTTTAATTCTTTTGACTAAGCTTTATGTTAAAAATTATGTTGATTGGGTGGCCTTTAATGGGATTTTCAACTAAAGTATTTTGTTTCAATAGAACTTTTGTAGCATGAAGAACTAGAACGTGGTTGTAGAGATAAAATTCAACCGAGAGGAATTTTTCTGGCCCTTTTTAAAGTTGTTTTACTTAATGGCTGAACGGTGAAGCCATTTTGATTAACATTTTGGTTTATGTATGCTGTGATTGTGTAGGATGTATTGTAGGTGATGAAGTAGACGGCGTTCCTGGTATCCAGCATCTGGTCCCTAGTTTTGGTCGGAAGACTGCTATGAAACTTATTAAAAAACATGGTTCCTTGGAAACTTTATTAAATGCGGCTGCAATAAGGACAGTAGGTAGACCATATGCACAGGATGCCCTTAAAAACCATGCTGATTACCTTCGGAGAAACTATGAAGTTCTTGCCTTGAAAAGGTTTGTTGATTTTCTTTGTAAAACTTCATTCACATCTGTATCTGTGGTTTTGTTTTCACAGTTTGTGTTCATTTATTTGAACAACATACTTCATGGAAGTAAATTATATATAGGTGCTGATAACCTCCTTTTAGTAACTATGGATCACAATTTCTGATAGGGATGTAAATATCCAACTCTATGACGAGTGGTTGGTTAAGAGAGACAATCACAATGATAAAACTGCACTATCTTTCTTCTTCAAATATTTGGGAGAAAGTAAGGAGCTCAGTTACAATGGAAGACCTATCTTTTACAACGGTTGAACACTTTCAGGTAACTTGTACAAAACATCTATCTTTCACATTCTTGTCGTTTGAAATTTTCGGTCAGAGAAATCTGCTTATCACAGGAAACTATGGTTGTCCTACTATTTTAGTCATTTTTAAGCATAGAATATCCTGCTTACTTCTCATTTACGAATGGTTACTATTCTCATTAATCCCTTAATAAAATGATACTAACTTGGCTCTTTTCCTTCATTATGATGCTGGAAATTTTTAGAGTAGGCAATTTTTACGTGAGTTTGCATTCTAGGATGCTGTCAGTATCATTTTTGGTCACTATAACATGGAAGCTTGCTGCAGCTGTGTCATCGGGATTCACACACTGCAGATAAAGTCTTGCGTACCACCACCTTAACACAATATCTAGATGTTACGCTGATCAACTAGCATGGTAAAATTTTCCTTGACCATCAGTCGTTATGTGATAACCTGGGAGATATTTGAATATTCATGTCCAATAACCCTAGGTGTAAGATGTCAAAATGAGTTGAATCCATTGGAACAACTCATTTAATTTGAAGAGAGTTGGGTTAGATTACATGAATCAATCTTTCAATCCACATAATTTGCCAATCCAGTGGATCAAGGACAGTTTGAGTTCATCGGATTGAGCCTTCGGGTTGGACTTTTTATTGTGTTGTAATGAATTGTTTAGTTAAATAATGTTTTATTAGATATTTGTAATGCTTTGTGGGTTATTACGAACTTAGATTATTTTCATGGCTTAAGTACCTTATTCCATTTGATCTTAGTATTAATTTATTCCATATAATCTTATTATTAATAAAAGATTAATCAACTCTCAATTTCTAAAAGTGCAACAATCTAATTATTTTTGTTCAATTAATAAAATCATTAATAAACAAATGTTCATAGTTTCACTTGACTAATGTAATTTATAACGAATGTGCAGTGAGAATTTATAAAACTTGTGATATCAATTATAACAGAGTCACAATATTGTATTTTGAAAATTTCAAAATCTCTATTGAACCTTCAAAGAGTCACATTGTTTCATTTTAAAATTAAGTGAATAGATTAAACATTTTATCAATAGAGATATCAAATTAAACAAAATAAATAACTAATAGGACGAAAGTTATAATGAAGTCTTATTTTATTGCATTTCTATGTTTATTTAACTCAGTACAATAGTTTTAGAAAGCAAATAAGTATGTCTTCTTGCAAAAGTTGAATAGAGACTTAAGCTGGAAAAAATTTCAAAGTGTATATGTTGATTACAATGATGATATACTTAGAAACAATTATTATTCATCCTATTTGATTTATTGTATTCACCCTAAGATTGAGACTCTTATTTCAGACGGTCCATAATATCTAGGTTTATGCCTTCACGGTGAAGAGTTTAAGAATACTCACATTGTGAGCGAATTCAATTGTTGCTCTAAAACAAAGACATGTTATCTAAAACGAATCAATATGGATGAATTATTTTATAAAAATATTTAGGAGAAAAATGTTGAATAAATTCATCCATACAAAAAAATTAGTTTTGTTATTCCGGAATTGAGTAAAGTTTTCCTTTACTCTATTGATTCTTTTACTTCAAGTTAAAGATTTTGGTCAAAATTTGGATTAACAGAAAAAGTAAAAATAAATCATGGATAAAATAATATTTATAGGAATATTTTGCTCACCATGATTGAGCCTTAGTTATAGGTGTATTGGCTCAAAGGTCTAATAACCAACTTACCTGTGAGAAGCTACACCTGTTTTCTTTTGACTAAGTTATCTAGCAGGAAAATATCTCTGGCAGACATACGAAGGCACTTATAAGCAAGCAGTACCTAGATTAGTTAGCAACATGGTTATAAAAAAGATGCATATTTTAGTGTGTGAGACATAGTACATGGTACTCAGTATTCAGTGTCCAATGCTTGACATTTAACCAAGCAATCCAACCCATGGTCTTCAATATTTAATACCTGAAACTTGGTATCTAGTTCGATAAGTGGTAAGATCTCATTTATATTGGATAATCTGATTAAAAACTATACCTAGAATGGTTAGGAGTCCTCGACCACATATAATACAAGTTCATCATAATTATTTCGAAAAAGTTTCATATCAACATTTTCAAAATCTATTTTTTAATTTATATATCAAATAACTTTAATATAATGTTTTCTAAAAATATTTTGCACATATTTTTTCTTTACAAGTGCTTATAGAAAAGTTATCCAAAGACAACCTAAGATAATATAGGAAGATAAAATATTTGTTATGATAATATTATTGATAGATTATATTTAATTTCTTGAAATAACATATCAATTTATGCGTGATTAATCAGGTGAAAGAGGGAGCCCCGTTATGGTGGGGTTGAAATGAGATTTTGAATTTAATGTGAGGAAGAGTAGGGTTTAGGGTTGGTACAACTTTTGATCTCTGCTTAATTAATGGTCCAAGACTTTTGAGCAAACTTGATTAGGTCAAGCAATAGTTGTTATCATACTAATTGGTGGGTCGGCATGAGTTGGAAGCATCACTCCAATGGAAGATACTTTTGAGACAGTGAATTAAACCTCCAAAAGAACATGATTGAGAGATTTTATTGAAAACCAACTCAAAGGACAAAGGCTTCACGTGTTACTAATAAATACTACACTGATGGCTTATTGTCCATGTTCATGCATTACTGATCATTTTGGAAAATAAATAATTTATTTTAATGGTCTCTTCAAATGTTGAAAAATGTTTTTTCTATAAATAAGTTAATTTATGTGTGATTTTTTTTCGGAAACGAAAATTCTTCTGATTCCAAAACACTGAATTTTAAGAAGATATTTATAGTTTTTTTTTCTTTAAAACAAGTGAGAAAAAAATTAAAACAAAATTAAGAATTGAAATCAAAATTAGAGAAAAGTAATTTAAAATGATTAATTAAAAATGTTGAGATTAAATTTTAGTTGATTTGAGAGAATGAACAAAATAAAAATTAATTCAAGGATACATAAATTTTGATTTTGTAATATTGGTTTTATAATATAATTTGTATTCATATAATAATAATGATGAATACATTATGACAGTGTGTATAATTTATCTTTGCTAAGATGAAAATACAATTGGAAAAAAAAGTGAATATGAATTCTTTTCTAATTGTGTATGTTTAAGAATACATGAATCTGAAATTTTAAAATGCATTTAGTGTAAGAAACTTAAAATCAGAAGTATGATACAGATGCAGAATAAATACACTGTAAATATGATGCTATAGACTACTGGATATAGACAAGCTTTCAAAAAATTCAAAACTAGCAAGCAACCACTACTCACAATACTAAACAAGTTGTAAAGACAACAATCAAAAGAAATTGTTCAGAATTAAAAAAGAAAAAACCAATGACAGTAAAATACAGAACTCATTCAACAGAGCAAAACCCAGAAATGAGTATTTGATCTATTTGGCCAATTGAGAATACATTTTAGGTAAAAACAGGCCCACCTTAGGGTCTGCAGATTCTATTTCAGAAACTTGATATGTGCAGATTCTCATTCAATTCCCCAAACAAATTAAATTCTCAATTCTGAATCATGCTTGGCCTAAAAGAAAATCAACATGGCAGGGTACCTACTACTACACTATAAACCAAGAAAATAAACTTCACAAAACAGCAAAATTGAACATGATCCAAAGTTAAAAGTTCTGTTCTGGTTGGTGTGTTAAATGGAATCCTGACTACAAAAGACTTAGGACTTTGGGGTCCTTATGGTTTTCAAATAAAAACCAAGAATTCTGCAGATTTCCACTTAATTTCCCAAACAATTCAAGAACTTAATTCTGAATTAAGGGTAATTGGCAAAAAGGTTACAGCAACTACAATTAAGCGTGAATCAAGAAAGAGTAAAATTGTGCTGAAACAGTAAAGAGCCGGATGTAACAAAATTGAATTGTACTGGGTAAAACATTAAAATCAACCCAGTAACAGGATACAGAGGCTGGAAATTAAAATTCAGATAGATAAAGAGCAAGAAAATAAGTTTGCAATCGGTAAAACAGAATCAACATTGAACTAAGGGAAAAAAACTTGGAATAGCATTAGATTCAAGAAGAAAAATAGTACGAAGAGGTTTACTGAAGGATCTTTTGGTCACTTTGTACTCACAGGACTCCTCTCACGCAGCTCTCTCTTTGTACAGCAGAAGCATTCCCCTCTCCAATGGCTACTTTACGCTCAATAAAGATCAAAATATTCAGCGTTATTGGTTGAACCCTCAACAATATTCAGACTCTCTATCTCTACTCTTGATGAAGATGAAAGCTCCTACACTCTAAGCACCAAGAGAAGAAAATTTCTGCTACTCGTTCTACTGTGTCTGTTTCTCTATCTATTTCACTCTACCAAGACCTTATTTAAAAAAAGGTTCTGATTCTCGCAATGCAGCTTCACAAACAGCTCAGTTGAACTGAAGGAGCTCGCCAGCCCAACCAAAGAGCTTGACAGCTCGGCTGGAGACCTTGGTAACCCGACAACCTGCTGAAGAACTCGGCAAACATGAAAGACATTCATTTATAACTAACCAACAAAGCCTTCACTTTCAGTCTGCATGATCACAGTTTTTTTAGTGTACGATAGGTTAACATATAATGCTTTCTTGTCCAATCACCCAATTAAAATACCGACTAACACTCAAACAATATCTATATATCCTCACATGGATATAAGCTAGCAAGTGGATCTTCTATAATTCATGATCTGTATTGCATAATGCCACCTAACTTGATACATGTTTTTGTGTCAGGCTTCCGACAATGGAACTGCAGGGTTCTGGCAATGGAGGTGCGACACTGATGCTGTGAAAGAAGGAGAAAATATTAGGTTTTTTAATCAAGGGTAGTTAAATCATTTTCATAGGGCTACCGGGGTGCAGGATTCCTTATCTTTAGTTATTAGTTATCTGTCAACAATCACCAGAAACAACACCTTTTACATTCAAGATTTGATTCCAAATTTGCATATTCTTCAAATTCAACATTCTGAAAATAATTCTCAGAACTTCCCTAGATTTTAAATGAGAAAGTAACTGCTGAATAATAAGAACAGGTTTGGACAAAAAAGAGAAAAGTGACTCAAAGATACCCTTTTAATCTTAGAAATTTTATTGGAAAAATATCTACAACAGCAAGCATATGACAGATTCAAAAAACTTTCTTACATCAAAATTTAGAACCTCTAGTTACTTAATCAAGCAGAGGACTTATTCCTGGTAGGTGGATTCAATATACTTATAACGTTATGTATTGACACAGCTATTAAGCTTATAGAACTGTAGTATAAATGGATTTCCCAGTAGACTAGATGTGATCCATGCTAAAGAATTGCAACAATTGATAGCTGAGGAACTAACTATATGTATATATAAACAATTAAAGAAAAAGGAAGCCCAAAAAAATAATTCACAAAACAGACCCCATTCTCTCCCTAATACAAGAACCTAGTATTTTTACATAACGATCATCAAGAGAGATATCCATCTCCTTTATCTTAGACACAAAGTCCATTGCTTGCTCATGCTTCCCTGCTTTACAATAACCATCCACTACAATCTTGTAAGTTAGTTCATTGGGCCTACAATTGTGCTCAATCATAAATCTAATGACTTCAATTGCTTCATCAAACAATTCCATCCCCACATAGCCTGACAAGAAAGTATTGTATGAAACTATTGTTGGTTGAATCCCTTTAGTGGTCATCTCTGAGAG